CCGCACCATGGCCTCGACTAAGGCCGGGCGCGAGAGGTCGCCGCCGCCGATCACTTCCCTGAGGATACGGCGGTGCTCAGCCCAGGCAGGGCATACCGCTACCGTATGCTCCACCGTATCCTCTAGGTGGTCCTCACAATGACGACACTCGGGCGTTTCCTCCCGCTGAATCCGAAACAGGAACCTACCGAAGCTGCCGTGCCCGGTAAGCACCTGCGTCAGACGGAAGGTGAGGACGCCGTGGCGTCTCTCAAGCCACTCCTCAAAGAGGGGTCTTACCGCTGCTATGGTAGCGTGCCCGATTATTTAGGTACATTAACATCATACTTTGAATTCTCTGAAGAGTTCAACAGAGTTATGTTTATAGTTTATAGTTAACCTATTTTCCACTAGCTATTTAAATATCTCATGTGACTTGCGTGTGTTGATTCTATACATTAGAATTTTTTTATTTACTTAATTCCAACGATAAACTCTAATAAAGTTTTCAAAATACCCGCACTGAATCCCGATCTCAATTAGTCATTTAAGATTTTTATCTCAATTTGTCTTAAATAACATAAGTTTTGCAGCAACACCTATCCAAAATGAAGGTAAAGTTATTAAGTATTGAACCAAATTGTCGAATTGTATACATATTTGAAAAACTAGAAGTTAATTAGTAGCGAGTATGTATATATATGTATCGTATAGATACAGGTACGTATATGTATATAGGTAATAGTTGTCCCAACTGCCTGCCTGATTAATTAACATAATAATAATAGAACTGAGTAATGAAAAGTTAAAGTACAATAATAATAATATCACGTGTGGGAGATCCATTCTTTGGCACGAATGAGTCGGCTCGGCCGGAGTGATACCACGACCTCACAGAAAACCGACGTGAAACTCCCACAGCATTGTGTTTCGCCGTGTGTGTAAGGTTACAGGAGACCCAATCCTTTCCCAATCCCTAAATCTCCAAATCTCCAATCCCTAAAAGGACAGCAACGCACTCGTAACTGCTCTCCAATCTGTAATGCGTCTACTCGTTTGACGACCTATCACTTAAAAATATGATTCTAGTATTCCAAAAAAATCGAAGTATATTATTCAAGATCCGAGCCCCGAAAAGTTAAAAAACAATAATACTAATACTTCTAGTATTCCCAAACAGTACATTATTCAATAAAGAAAATAAATCTCCTGTTTTGAAAGCATTGCGTTAGATGCTCGAGTATCTGGGATACGGATTTGCCGGAGTCCCATTGTAACACGACACTCATTGACAAAATCCCTTTATAATCGTATTTTGATAATCCACAGGATCCGGCCCTGGGTTCGTCTTCACGTTTTATTATAAAAACATTAATTGATGCAGACAAAATCGTTTATTTTTAAAAGAGAAACGAGAGACAATGTTGATTTGAAAATATTCTCGGATTAAATATGATATTAGCTGTCCTAGTTAACTTCGTTATAGAAATATATTATTGTAAATTATACAATTGTTGACTGTTGTATCGAAACTTCATAATAATATATTTATGTAAGTAAGTACATATATATCTGTATAAAACTGTGTATTTCATAGTACAGATACTAGATACTACCTTAACTTATATTATATTAGATACTAACTTAACTTACAGTATTAATACCTAGATCGTCTGATACATAATACAGCTAAAGTACTTATAACTAAATATGTCCACGATACTGAAAAAAAATGATAAAGCGGGGCCACATTTTTGAATAAGCAGTTATTTATTGAAATAACATCAGTTACTTATCGTGATTTGTCCGAAGTTTTCCTATAGTTTTAGCTACTAGGTATAAAAATCCCTCCAACTGTTTTTTTATTTACATACGAACTTACTACACCCATAAATATTGGTATGTATAAAAATAAAACATTAAACAGCAAAGATCAGTCGATAGTCTAGCTTTTTGGCTTCGACTAACATTCATAAATATTCATATTGCAGAGAGAGTAAAGGGGTTTTGTGGTGGGAGAATCCGTATGTTTGTTCTTTTGCGAGAGAACGCAATATGCTAAGTGGTAGGTACAGTGGCGAGGGTATTGTACTGCGGGAGTGAGGGACGGCATTGTCACCGGCCCGCCTTCCCGCTTTGTTCCCCGACAGCACCAACCTTATTAGGTCACAGTGTGAACGTACTTGATACTCCGACGCTGTTTTTATTTCGATTGCTAATGATTCTTTCTTTATTTGAATTTGATTTTTGAATGAAGTTGGTTCTTATTAAATATAATACTCTATATTATATTGAACTTGATATGTTTCTTAAAGGGTGTTAAAGATTATTTTGATTTTTGACATTTTTAATTGAAGTTGTTACTCAATACTCGTTATTTTAATTAACTCCATAAGTTTAATTAAGGTGTTATCTAAAGGTTATTTTGGTACATTACGAAGTCAACTATCTGTCGTGCAATATTTTTTATACTTTTATATTAACTCTTTGAATCAATCAACTTAAATATTAGGTGTTTGCTAAAATAAAATGCATCTGCACTTTCTCTCTATTATAATAACACATATATGAAAATTGGTCCACAGTCCTCTAAACGTTTTATAAAAATATATTTTCTTCCCCTATTTTTATAATAGTCAAAAAAGTAAGTAAGTAAGTAGTAAAAGAAAGTAGGTAAAAATACCTACCTATATATTTTTTATAATAACTATCGTGAGACATACTAAATTAACTAAAATTCGCGGGTTACTCACGTGTAAATGATGAGAAAAGCTAAAACGCGGCGACGTCGCGCAGCCTACGTCGCCGCGTCCGCGCACGCTGCTCATGAGGAAGAACCCCTCTGTGGTTCGAAACTAGTAGAGCTTTTCTCATTATATATTTTTTAACTAAAACATCTACACATCTACTTTTGAAATTTCAAAATAACACTGGATAGCTAATTAAAATTAAATGGGTGCTTGTTTAGTACCTACCTACATGTATCTAAGGTTCTCCCAAAATTAGAAGGGTTTCAATCAAAAATAGAAATATCAACATAATTATGTAAAACAGGCGTCGAGAGTAGTTTTCTCGGAACTCGTAGGTTTCCACCCACCAATTCAGGTAGTTACATTCTAAATTCAAATTTTATTTTAGTACCAAGTAGGTACTTACAAAATTCGTACCTCTTTCCCAAAACTCTTTCCAATTTTGAATTTCATAATACAAGCAAATTCTCAAAATGTTTCTTTAACAATAAGAATGTATGTATTCCTATAATCTTATTGGCAATTAATCATGGCCGGACATCGTAATCTCATTGACATATAGACATTTAATAGGTACCTTATGCACACCTGGGTAACGGTTCAGATATCAAACTGATGTAAATATAAACATATCTAATTTATATATAAGTAATATGTAAGTACCTATATCAAGTAAATGTAACAGAGGTACGCGCAATAATGAAGTCAAGCAATTCCTCAATTCAATATCACTTCACGGGAATCCTGAAAAAGGTCCCGCTCTCCCGAATAAAGATACGCAATCAAAGTTATTGAAAGAACCCTCGCCAGCCTGATCCCGCTGGCGGCGGCACTATTCTGCAATCCTTTCGCGAATCCCGCCAACCAATCATTATCGACCACCCCAAACTTGAACTGTGACCTTTTGCAACAAACCTCCAATTAAATTTCCATTTCTTTCCCCACTGTTATTTACTGCTACTTTGCCATTACAAATCCCCTGGAAACATGTTGGCATTCATTGATCTGTCACCGCATTAGATTTAGACATTTATTTAATTATTGTAGTGGACGTGCGAGCAATATTTATGTATTTATGTACCTGCCCGCGCAGCACGCGATCAGTGTCAGCGTGACTCATATCAAGATCAATAGTCTACGAGTGTTAAATAAAATACGTTTCATTAAAAAAATATTTTTATATTCCTGTAAGTTACCCAACACTTTCTAAATAAGAGTTGGGTTAATAATAAACTTGTCCAATGTTCGACAAAAATACAACGACACGTGGAGCAAAGCTTAAAATAATTGTGACCCGTCGGCGGCGCAGACTCGCGGCGATACCCTGCTATCACAACTGTCTATAACATAGACTTATCTGAAATCGTAAAATTCCAAATCTCACTCAAATAAAGGTCGCCCCAAATCGCACCCCTGCAGGTATTATAAAATGGCGTCATCGGTATAGAATTATAGTCTTGTGATCGGCAGGTACAAGAAAGGTTAGGTCGGCGACGGCGCGGGGGTCGGTATACGGCCTCCCCCTGACCTTTAAAGAGTCGCCTTGTCCCGCGGGAGCATGCTCGCGCCGCATTACCACGCGGCGACACATCTCACACAGCTCATAGCGTGGACTGGCTGGCAGTGCGGCGGAGCGGCACCTGTGTAGGTGGGCGCCGGCCGCGGCCGCCACTGCAGGCCGGGAGCCGCCGCGTCTCGCGCTCAACATGGCAGACACGCACCGCTAGGCATGTGCCCGCCACACGTCTCTAAATATCCCCACACATTCACGATATCTTATTCAGTTTAAGACTCTCGTCTATCCCAAATTTCTGCTGATAGATATATAATACTAATGTAATTTCGTACAATAAATTATAACTAAGGTAAAAAATAAAAATAAATCACTACTGAAATTATATAAATAAGTCTGTCAATAGAATTTTTGTTTAAAAAAAACAAAATCTTAGAAGTATCAGCAATTATTTCCATCGTTTTATAAGACAGCCCGACTGCAGATAAATATCCCAACGTTGCCTCGTAACCGCAGCGGCGCCATCGTCCCGGCCCTAGTCGTTACGTTCGGAACGGGCGCGGCGCATGCGCGCTGGCCGCTATTAAAAAATGAATTCCTGGTTCCCGCACTGTGAGCCGTACGTCGGTGTCAGCGGCTGCGTGAGGTCGGCGGCGCGCGCCAGACGGACCCGCCCGACAGAGGCCGCAGCGCGCAGTGCCGGTGCCGGTGCCGGAGCCGGGGTGTGGTCGTGCAGTGCAGTGCAGTGCGTGCAGTGGCTGGCGATGCGTGGCGCGGCCTGGTAGCGGCCGCGGCATGGCGCGCCGCGCCGCACGCGCCCGCGCCTGCTCCTCACACACACCATGAGCGACCTGCAGGCCACCTTCGAGTTCTCTGTCGAACTCTACAAGTTCTACAATGTCGACCTCTTTCAGAGAGGGTGAGTCCACTCGATATTTGTTACCTAACCGTGAGTACTAGAACCTTCACGATAACATTGATAACAACTGATAACATGTGAATTGTCCGTAAAATAAAAACTGAATACGATCATAGAAGTAATAACACTATCTAGAAACAGCCTACAATTAATAATAGGGCTCAAAAATGATAACGTCATTCGTGAAATTCATGATCTCGTACATTCGCAGCTTGATCAATCATCGTGTTCAGCTGATATTCGCTTCGGAACATGAATCCGATGAGTGATCACTTTCTCCTTGACATTCGTAAGGGAGAGATGCCCTCTGATTGAGACGTACGCAGACAGGGATTATTGGAACATTTTCTTTCACCGCATTACCCCGACTTTAGAGCGGGATAGTGCTATAAAGATATATCGACGAAACTCTGAGTTATGAAAACCTTCTACGGCGTAGAGCCTGAATAATCTGAGCATTTTGATCAATGTTCAAGTTGTAAAAAAACAAAAAATCAATCAAACATTAATTGTAAATCAGAAACTGTATTAATATAAAGATGCAAACGTATTCGAAATGCGAACGCTGTTCTCTCGTAAGCAGAAATTCTATTAACAAGTAACAATAGAAGTGCTCTCTGGTGTCAGATCTCGTTATGTTCCGACACGTTACGTTATTATAACATCAAACTGTCACAACTTATTACTGAAACCTGCGGACCATATGGGAATGTTATAGAGCTAAACGATCGTAGTCTCATTTAGAACTTATTCTTGGACTTAACTGACAAGACACACTATACATACAAATGAACTCAGTACGATATTTAAGTCTGTATTTAACAAATAAAAAAAATAACACTCATTCATACACCACTGAAAAATTAGTCATTAAAAAAAATTAAATCATTTCTATTTAATGGCGATAAATGTTAATTATTTTCTGTTAACAACGAATCATCAATATAGATTAATTTAACAAACTGTACACCGTACAGCTAAAATATAAAATTGATTTATCATATAAAATTAAACGTCTACCATAGCGTCCTTGTGTGAAATTAATCTTAGGTTTATCAACGGCCATTGACGGTCGTGATCAACATGAAATATTAAAGGCTTTAATAAAAATACGTTCCCATCGTGACTCAGGGTTGTCGCGCATAATTATTATGATTGACGAATGCAAAATGCACGGCCGTAGCTGAAAACCCTTCAATTAATTCCGCCAGATTGAAGGGGGGAACAGACCAGTCTGCTAATTGGTAATCACTGCTTTTAGTGAACTTTGTTTAATTAATAGATTTGAGTAGGTTGCCATCATGGTAGGTACTCGTATAGTAGGGACAGAAGGTTTCAATCATATATTTCAGATATCCATCCTCTTTTGAAAATATTTTCTAATGTAATTAAAATACTTGGTACATATTTTATATCGATTTTAGCTTTTTCATTATTGGTTGTATCTATGTATGCACTGTTGTATTACGCTAAACTTGATTAGAACAAGAGGAAAATATTTGAAAATTTTAAATTCAGAATCGAAATGATATATTAAATCTGTGCACCATTCTTTATTTATTTGTTTATCCAATCAGAGCTTTATAAAATAGTTAGTTGTTTAACTTTTGAATTTGGATTGCATTCTAAGTGAACAGTTTATCCACGACCTTAGTTTTTAAAATACGATGTCGCTTCACGAAGCTCGCGTGTATGCAGTCGCAATTTGAAAATTGTGTCGTTGCGTGTTTATGTTGCAATGCTCAGAATAGTTTATAAGTTTTTCAACGTTGTGTATCTCTATTATTTAGTTGTTTTTTTGGATGAATACCTACCTATTCCTTTTATTCATTCACATCTCTTACAAAGTTTTCGCAGCATTTATTCGTAATGAAGCAACAAACCAGAAACGAAACACAATATTTTATTAAATAAATTTTTATTTAAAAAAAACATTCAGACTAGAAAACATTCAGTCAGCAAGAATGCTTTTGGCAATGAGTACGGAATTAAGATGTTATTTACAACCTAAATGAAATTCAAAGCAAAACAAACCGTGTTGAAAATCTATGGTTCTAACTATAAAAAGAGAATGCATTTTTATTAATTCAAGCGATTCATTGTTGATTGAAAGTAGGGATTTTATTTCAGTATAAAACGATCGCGAGTTACATAAACCGATTAGATAGGCTACGTTAGGTGCATACTGATAGACAGATACATTACCTGTATATGTTTGTGAATACAGAGCTCTATTGTAAAAATATTTGCAATTAATAAAAAAACACCTTTGCCAAACTATAATAACAATACGTAGTTTCCAATAAGTCAAATTCAATACTTTTATCCAAGTGTCAAAAACAATACTTTTCTATGAAATTTGTATGAAAAACTGAGTTGTGACGTGATTGTATTTTTGCGTCAAATAGTTTACTTATTTCTTAATAATTAGTTACAAAATATCTAAAACTTAGTGTATCGACCGATCGATGAATAAGAGTATAGTTATTTTTCAATATTTTATTGTATTGAAACGTCGAATTAATTTGTTTTTGACTTAGGAAACTACCCAATTAAAACCTCTTTTTAGACGTTTATAAGCCATGACATTCTTTTTTCAAATTAGAAGTATTTTTTTTAATATTTATTAAAATTAAAAACAATAAAAACTTACTAAAATGAAAACAATAATGGTTCTTACAAGATTATTTCAACTCACGCGTCACGTCAGTAGTCGGCAAGGTCATTCATTGGCTAAAATTAAATGTTTTTAACCAGCTTTTATCGTTCCATGTTAACTCTCGTACCAATGTTTTACTATACAGCACGTTGCACACAAACTACATAAACAGTTGTTAAACAAAGTCTAACAAAGTTTGTAAATAAATATGTATACAAAAACACAACTCTAAGTCCTTAAAAAAGATACGGCCGTAATCCGATTAGGGAACGTAGAATCAGGTTGTTATTGACTGATAATTATTTGTATTTTATTGAATAGTTAAGACGATGTAGCGGATGTTATCGCACTTATGTACCGCCTCAGCCTCAAGCAAGAATGATTAAATATAAATTTAAAATAACATCCCCGGCCAAAATACATAAACTACTTTTAAAAAGTATATAAAACAAAAAACTTAATTGAAATCGTTTCATCCGTTCAGGAGCTATGATGCCGCAGACACACAGACAGACACGTCAAACTTATTAAAGTTTTTGTTTTTTTGTGACGTAAAAGTCATAACCTTTCATTTGATACCCCATTTGAGCATATTTGCAGACTTTCGGTTTTTCTTCTCCACTTTTACCCCCCCATAACTTTTAAAAGGCTCAATAGATTTTCACCAAACATATCTAAGAACACTCGCCCGTAGAACACATGTAATAAAAAAAAATTAAATCAGTTCATTCGTTCAGAAGCTACGATGCCACAGACAGACAGACAGACATACAGACAGACAGACAGACACGTCAAACTTATTACACCCCCTTTTAACGTCGGGGGTTAAAAAGAACAGTGTGGTTCTTGGTCAATAAGAGTCTGACACTCTCTCTCGCCTCCACCAGAACGGGAGAAGAGATATGATGATGTTTCGCCCGAAAGAAAAATGTAACTACTGACGTAGCCATACTACCTATAAAATTAAGTTTTGATTTATTTGTTGTATAGAATAACTAAATTGTTACATGAACATCAAATACTTCATCAAGTCTTTGTTGATCTATGTCAGTGAAATAATTATGTAGTTGGTATCGATGATACATTTTTCTATAATTAACAAATATGGATAAACCTCAACAGTTAAAAGAAACAAAAAAAAATTGAAAAATTCTTTAAAAAAACAACCTTATGTCTGATTGACTAAATACTTTTGGCACATTTTTATGAAAAATCATACAGCTCAACATTTATAGTCATGCAAACTAAACGTAGATATAACTATACGAAATTTCAACTTCATCGGTTGAAGACATCTGGTTAAAATTTTTAAGTAATTTCGACTTCACAAAAATAAACACATATTTAAGTACATACATTCATTGCAAGTTAAATAAATATGGTTCCAATTGAAAAATATTAGCTCGTAAAGAGAGTAGATAAGATCCAAAACAACTGCCTTAAAGAACAATGAATTATGCTCAAAAGTATTTAATAACACGAAAAACATTTTACGATTAACACATAAAACAACACTATTACACTATTTTATCTTATAAATTGCAAATGACAAGACTCCTACGCATCGCAAAACAGTTTGTGACCCAGTTCTATATTTGTGGCGCGTGTCATTCCAAGTATGTCTGCCACAGAGTAATAATAATATTCCGTCTATTAACAGGTTAACACATTTCTTAAGTATTTTGAGACTGCACTGTTCAGAATCTACTATCTATACAAAAAATCGGATCATCCGTTTTAGAGTTACGATGCCACAGACAGACACAAACTTATAACACCCGTCGTTAGTTATATTTCAATTTATAGCAAACACAGATTCTTCTGTTTACTATGTATATAATTGACGCTCTGCATAAGCTTTTATCACAGATTAATATTTTTATCCTAAGCAATAGTTGCTAATAGCATTATCACATTACATAATAAATCAGACGAGCCCATATACTCCATCTAGTCTATCCAACTTTTTAGAAAAAGCATCTAAATAGCTCGTATAACTTTGAAGCATCCTAGGTACATTTATTCAAGAGCGAATAGCCACTTTTCTGAATTCTCATACAACTTGCATTAATCAAATAACGGCTGAATCATTCTCACTTTACCTCTAACTAACAACGAGCGAGAAAATAGTTAAACTTTGGACCACACAAACTAGTTAAACTTTTGAATCGCAAAATTAGATTTAAAAGCTTTATGCCTGCAATTTAGCAAGCATTTGAAATGAGAGAGATGTCTGCACTGTTGCAATAACTGTCAGAATCGGCCGTCCGAAGCACGCTCCACTCATATTTTATTATGCTGCAAGTCCATAAGCTAATAAACTCAATTTTCTCCTCTGTGT